GAGATTAATCCCCTCTCTGCTCTGTTGCAGCGATCGCTTGGCGCTGCTGCAGGTCCGAGACATCCTGCAGAAGTTGGGGCTGCAGAGTACGTGCGACGACAGCATCATCGTGAAGGAGGTGTGCGGCGTGGTATCACGACGGGCCGCCCAGCTCTGCGGCGCAGGATTGGCCGCCGTGGTGGACAAGATCCGGGAGAACCGGAATCTGGAGCGCCTCCAGGTCACCGTGGGAATGGACGGCACCCTTTATAAACTGCACCCGCAGTAAGTCCACTCTGGGCAGCTCTCCGCACTCTGTCGAGAGTTATGTAGCTGAGGGCCGGGTAATTGGCATCGGCATATGCCACATCACTTGTAATTTGGGCTCACGGCTTCTAAGGACACGGGTTAGAATCCCGCATCCCCCCCGACCCCCAAGACAGCCGGACGAATTTCAGTTCAGTTCCACAAAAAAGAATCCTGGAAATCTGAAAAAAAAAGCCTGAAATTGCTGGAGAAACTCAGCATCTTGTGTACAGAGAGAGAGAGCAGAATTGACATTTTGGCTCCGAGTCACTTGTGGTTTACAACTGACGGTGGCCGTTGCTGACTCTGCATCCTCCCCGCAACCTTGTTAATAAAGCCGAGGGCAGTGTATGATTTATTTTCCTGACATGTCATATAGCACGGAATCAGACCATTCAGGACACATTGTCCATTCCGAGCAGCTTTCCCAAACTAAGCTATTCTCTATCGGTCTGCGTTTGGCCCATATCCCTCTCAACCTTTCGTGTTCATACCCACCCAGATGCCTTTTAAATGTTGTAATTGTACCCATCTCCACCATTTCCATGTACCACCCTCAGGTCCCTTTTAAATCTTTTCCCTTTCAGTTTAAAGCTATCACCTCTAGTTTTGGGGACAACAAGGTGCAGAGCTGAATGAACACAGCAGGCTAAGCAGCATCATAAGAGCAGAAAGGCTGACGTTTTGGGCCTAGACCCTTCATCAGAAATTCTGATGAAGGGTCTAGGCCCGAAACGTCAGCCTTTCTGCTCCTATGATGCTGCTTAGCCTGCTGTGTTCATCCAGCTCTGCACCTTGCTGTCTCGGATTCTGCAGCATCTGCAGCTCCTACTACCTCTCGTTTTGGAACTGCCATACCCTGGGGAAAAGACCTTTGCTATTCACCTCATGTATGCCCCTCATGATTTTTTAAACCTCTATAAGGTCACCCCTCAGCCTCCAACGCTCTTGTGGGAGAAAAGCTCCCAGCCTATCCAGCTTCTTCTTATAACTCAAACCCTCCAGAAATAGTAATATCCATGTAAACTTTTCTGCACACTTTCCAGTTTAATAACATCCTCCCTATAGAAGCTTAATGAGAACTGTATGCAGTATTCCAAATGTGGCCTTATTCATACCTTGCACGCCCCTAACATGGCCTCCCAACTCCTGTGCTTAATGTTCTGATCAATGAAGGCAAGCGTGCCAAATGCCTTCTTCACCGCCCTGTCTACCTGTGACTCCACTTTCCAGGAACTATGTACCAGCAACCCCGAGGTCTCTGTGTTTAGCAACACTCCCCAGGGGCCCTGCCATTAACTGTGTAGGCCCTGCCCTGGTTTGTCTTCCCACAATGCAACACCTTGCATTTATCTGCAATAAACTCCATCTTCCACTCCTTGGCCCACAATGCACCCAGCTCCCTCTGCTCCTGAGCCCTTGTACCAAGGTGGTAAGATCCAGGAGGTCTGTTGGATCAATACTTTACAAATCGTTTGAGAGGGTAAACCATGAGAAACACTTGCTGCAGGATCTGTGAATTCTCATTCCACCTGAAGTCGTTGAAACTGTCTCTGAGGACAAAACTAAGATTAGAGGGGTGTAACTCTGTACAAAGGGAGCCTTGTGGACAAGACTATAAAACCAGTTCAGAGTCGAAGGTCTGAATTGAGGAACTGATAGCAGCCTTGCAATCTGAGTGGCGTTTGTAAAGTTTACGATTTAATTGATGTGTTCTGTCTCTGCTTTTGAAGGGATTCCAGTGTCTGTTTAATATCATGGCAGATAAGGTTTGGGATTTGGGTGTGCCCATGTTTGCTTTAGAGATCAGACTGGGATGCAGCAGGTATTAAAAGAGTATCCCTCGCAGGTTACATATTAAGCCTGTTTCGGTCCCATCAATATCCGATGCTACTCCTTGGCACACGGGTGCCAGCAAAGCTGTGGGCAATGCCTCTCCATCCCGGGCAAAAGCAGAGCAGTGCCTACTCGAACAAGGTCAGGGAATGCACATGATGGATGGTACCGACCCTGGGAATCACCAAGGGTCAGAGGGATCTTGCTGTGCATGTATCCCAGTCCCTTAAGGTAGCGGGACGGGGCGATAAAGTGGTTCAGATGGATTGTGGGATACTTACCTTCATAAACCGAGGTGTAGATTAGGAGCAGAGAGGTTTGGCTGGGAACTGTGTATAACACGTCGGTTAGGCCACACTGTGAGAGTATTGTGTGCAAGTTCTGGAATTCCCCTTATAGGAGGGATGTGATAGCACTGGGAGAGGGGGCAGAGGGAGATTTACCAGGATGTTGCCTTGTGGGGGCTGGAGAGTTTCAGTTGTTGAAGAGAGATTGGGACAGACTGGAGGGTTGTTTTCCTTAGAGCAGAGGAGATTGAGAGGGGGGACATGATTGATATGGGTAAAATGATGAGGGGTATCGATAGGGAAGACAGCAAGGAACTTTTACCCTTGTTGGGGGGGATCAAAGACCGGGGTGGGGAGGGTATAGGTTAAGAGAAGGGGCAGGAGGTTTAGAGGGGGACGGGAGGAAAAATGTTTTCCCCCAGAGGCTGGTGGGGAATCTGGAACTCACTGCCTGTAAGGATGGGAGAGGCAGGAACTCCCATCCCATTGAAGAAGGATTTAGATGGGCACTCACCATGTCAAGGCTGTGGGCCAAGTGCTGGGAGACTGGGATTGGAATAGTGAGTTGTTTAGTGTCTGACTTGATGGGCTGAAGGGTCTTTTCCGGTGCTGTTGAATTCTATGATACTGTTTGCCTCCTTGGGTTATCTCTACCAGTTGGTCAGATCATGTCATTTGTCTCGCCCCCTCCCCTCTGTCCCAACCAACTGTTGTCTGGAGGAAGGAATTCCATAGACACGCAACCCTGTTATTTAAAGAAACATACCACCTCCTCTCAGACTGGGGAATCTGGAGTCATGTGCAGGCCAGACTGGGTAAGGCTGGTTGATTTCTTTTCCTAAAGGAATAGAGTGAACCCCATTGAGTTTTGATGCCAATCGATGATCAACTCAACAGTACATTGTTCCTGAAACTCAGTTCATATTCCTGATTTTTGAGTCGGTTTCACGTTAATTTCCAAGGGCTGGGTCAGGATTTGATCCCGTATCGTTACAGCATTCGCTGACCAATACGTCACCCCCAAATCCCCCGACCCCATCGAACTCCTCCAATTTGACTGAATTTTAAATATTGGTGTTGAAAGCTGGACTCTGATTGTGGTGGGAGGCGCCCTGTTCCAGAAGCTGTCTCATTATCTCGGAGCCTGCAGCATCTCTCCAGTTGAGACCACGGAGGGTCAGGATGCTGAGGGAGATTGATGACAATCGAAAGATGGGATCGGATTGAGAGGGGGCTGAATGGCTGACTCCTTCGATTTGGTCCCTCTTTCCTTGTATGGGTTGGGGCTCGGATCTGGGATCCATCACAAGCTGATCTCCTCTTTTCCTTTTGCAGCTTCTTCTCGATAATGCATGAGACAGTGGCATGCTTGGCACCACAATGCGATGTGTCATACGTCCAGTCCGAAGATGGCAGCGGCAAAGGGGCAGCTCTGGTCACAGCGGTTGCCTGTCGGATACGGGAGGCTGGACAGCACTAAGAGCCAACTTACCTTCAATCTTCCCCCATGCCCACTCCTCTGTCCTTTCACATGGAGACTTACCCCTCTACATACCTCTGCCCATGACCGATCAGTGCCCTTTTCCCAGTGTTAGACAACAACTGTGAGGATATCAGAGCCCCAAGCTCTGAGCCACCCCGTGTTACTGCAGGTAGGGAAGGGGACAGTCTGTCACTGGAGGGAGCCAGAAAATTTATTTGGCAGAAAACGGGAACTACAGATACTGGGAACTAGCAGAGAAATTGACCGGATGAACTCAACAGGTCTGGCAGCATCTGTGGAAAGAGAGAGGGAGAGAGGGAAAGAGAAAGAGAGGTGGAGTCAAGTGACCATTCATCGAAATGTTACCATTTCTGTTTTTGACTCACGAAATGGTCCAGTTGGATTTGTGTGTGTGCAAGAAAGTGTGTGTGTGTGTGTTTGTGTGTGTGTGTGCACGCGCGTGTGTGCTTGCGTGCATGTGTGTGTGCGGGCATGTGTGTGCATGTGTGAGTGTGAGCGTGTGTGTGAGTGTATGTGTGTGTGAGAGAGAGACTGTGTGTGAGCGACAGAGCGCAAGAGAGACAACACTGAACCTTGAATATGCAGAGATGGCACAGCAGTCTAAATCAGTTGCCAGTCACTCCTCAAATGCCCGTGGCTTTGCCAAGGACGCACGCAGCGAACTCAATTGTCTCCTTCCCCGACCTTAGAGGAGAGAGGTGCAAATTTGGAGTGACTTCAGCTTACAGTTGGGTAATGTATTGGCATTTCCACCACAGAAGGGCACTTGGGCTATACCAGGGGAATGGGGCTGGGGCACACGTTCATATCCATTTGGGACAAATTTGTCAAACTTGGCAGGGGTTGGGGAGGGTGGCATTTTCAGTGGAGGTGTCCCAGGGATCAGATACTGCTGTTCGCTTTCGCTATTTTGTTTGGTCAGAGACTTTTTCCTTGTGAGACAATCTCTCGATTCCTAAGCAGGAGTGAAAATGGTTCGAGGGGGATTGTTTAATTGATCGCCCGTTAAGGGGCACTGCTTCAAATATTCCCACTATCCTTCTAGTGCAATTAACATGGAGTGAGCGTGCTCATTTCTTAAAACTCACAGCGACTCATCTACCAATACAAAGCAATAAAAAGAACAGCTGGAGAGCTGAAATGAAGACAGATACTGCTGGAGAAACTCAGCAGATCTGGCAGCATGTGTGGAAAGAGAGAGAGAGAGAAACCGAATTAACATTTCAGATCTTGTGAACCTTTTATGTTGGGGATTGTGGTCTGTAAACCTTGTCTTGGTGAGGACTTGCATTCTCAAGCATGGCATCTACCTCCACCTGTACCTGTTCGATGGTGGAGAACTCTGGCTCTCAGTTATGATCGCTATTTCCCAGCCGGTTTCAATCCAGCTTTGAATGAGCCCCTCGTCCTGGCAAATTCATAAAGGTTTACGAGATTGTCAAAACAGCTAGTGAGACGGCTGTCTGAATGCCAGTGTCAGAAAACATGCAGCGAGATTCCTTCTGATCCATGGCGACCGTGTTAATAAGGTACACCCTGCAGAATCTTGTTTCAACAAGGCAATATTCAACTGTTGCTCGATAACACAATGCTAAGTGAAAGCTTTGAAGTGATCAGGACTCACACACAGGAATGCATTTAAAGGGATTTGAAAGTATGTGCCAAAAGTATAATTTGAAGCTGCTTTCGGGGAGCAGATTTACATTTTTTGACAGGGAGAAGCTGAAATAAGACAGTCCTGTAATTAGCGATCTGCATACATTGTAGACCGAGGCCACCCATTACCAGCTGTACCATGCTATTAGACACTCTGTATTGCAAGAGATTCAAAGGAAGATGAGGAAACAATGATTTTATTTTGTGTCAGAATCAATTTCATCTTTCAGGCATTGTTAGAAACACACACACACACACATACACACAGAATTTATCTTTATGAAGAGTAGATTTCAAATGCCAATTGCAGTGGGAGTGGACGGAGACAGTTTTGAGTGTTCTGGACTCGAACAGCGGCTGGTGTTCTAGGAATAAAACCACTCCAAACAGGAGCCACAAAGCAAGGGGTTATCCCCTTCCAGGCCCCGCTCTAGGCTTGGGAGCAGCTTTTCAGGAAGGAGTTACATCCTGGAGGAGCTCAGTGCTGCCAGTTTGCTAATCTGTGCTTGGGTGTGCAATAGACTCCTGCCTTCAGTTGCAGTGGAGAAATATTATTTTCTGATATTTTATTTTGTTCAGTTTACACGCGACTGAGCGGGAACCGTTGTTTATTGAGATGTGTTTGTATGACCCTCCCACTTGGCTGTTCCTGCCTCCTGGTCATTCAGTAATTTCAAGTAAAGGATCAATTTCACTGTTGAATGTTGTGTCTGGCCATTACTTTGCTCCTGGCTCGAGTTAGAATGGGCTGCAGTGGGGATGTCATAGGGAGTGACTTTCTAATACCTGGGGAAGCTGGAAAACTGACCCCTGTTTCTTTCCCACCACCCCCCCCCCCCCCCCCCCAAACTGGCTGGACAAACAACGCCATCGACATGGCTGCCCCCGCTGCACGACTGTCCCCGACCGCCAACCCCAGACACGACCAGTTCTGCCTGCGATGGGACCCATTTTGATTGAATGAATGTTGATTCTGAGTCTCGGAGTCCCTGTCTCTGCGCCTGTCTCTTTTGTCTTTAACATGATACAATGGTACCCTCTCCTGGCTGGCCTATGCCACTGCTCGAGCACCAAACTGATTTTCTGCAGAAAGGACCAAAGCCTGGGATTGATAGAATCAAAGAGGACCTTCGGCCCCACGCTGACTCTCACAGCATCCCAGCCAGACCCATCCCCCTGTAACCCATGTAATCTACAAACCCCTGAACACTACGGGCAATTTAGCACGGCCATTCCACCTAACCTGCACATCTTTGGTCTGTGGGAGGAAACCGGAGCACCCAGAGGAAACCCACGCAGACGTGGGGAGAATGTGCAAACGCCACACAGACAGTCGCCCGAGGGTGGAATGTGTGTGCTGATCACATGCAGTCTCCCTGATGGCCAGATACTTGATTCCAGAATTTGTGGTCATGGCGGACTGTGTTCGAGCTGAAAGTAGATAACTGTATCGTGGTCTAACAGAGGGCGCGTCTTCCAGACCACTCATACAATTACGCCTCCTTTTACATTTCTTGCCACGCACTTCTGGCAATGTGATTGTTCTTACCTGACATATTTCTCACACTGATCTGCAAATCCCCCTGCACGGACAGCTTTCTCTCTGCCAGTTATTTTATTCCCACAAACTCCACTTCCACATTTTGGTTTTGCTCCCTAATTTGCCCGCTGGAATAACTTTTCCCAGCTCATCTTCCTTAAAAAAAAATGTCAGATGGTACTTACCTCCAAAATCTGGAGAAGTTTACCTTTTTAAGTGAAAAAAAAGTGTGCTGGAAATGTGCTGCAAACAGCAAAGCCAGTTTGAATAAATTCAGCATGAATTGGTAGCATCTGTGGAGTGAGAAAACAGAGTTAATATTTCGAATTCGGTGCAACTTCTACCAAACTGAAAGATATTCAAAAATTGCTTTTTATTGTTTTTCAGGCAAAGGCAGCAGAGGGGTTATGACTGGAGTAGAGGGCAAGGGCAAAAGACAGCAGCTGTTAAGGGTAGTGAAAGAGGCAAAAGAAGAGACGCAAAATGGTTTTACGTTCAGGTGTGAAGGGAGGGAATGAGTTCACTTTCCTGCCTTTCTCTCTGTCTATCCCAACAGATTCCATTATTCTCATACAATCTTCAGATCTTTCTAAATTCCAAGGCCACCACTTAGGGCTTGTCTCATTTCTCTCTCAACACTTGCTGTACAGCTGGCATTCTGGTCAATATACGTTACACACGGTCTCACAAGTCTCCCGTCTTCCTTGCTTTTCCCTATTTAGAAAGCCAATATCATTGGCTGTGCTAACATGAAATGCGTTCCATGAACAAACATAAAATGGCTGACTGAATGACATCTTTGGATTCATTCATTTGGGTTTTGCAGAATAAAACACACCTCACACTTTGCACATTATCGTCCCTCAGTAAATGAGTTATAGCGAGATGTGTGCTGATATTTTTTGAATGGTCGACTGTAGAGGGAACAATGTACCATTTAGTTTATAATGTTAGAACAAAGGAACAAATTACTGCAGATGCTGGAATCTGTACTGAAAGCAACCATTGCTGGAGATCACAGCAGATCAGACAGAATCCATGGAGAAAGAGCAAGCTACCTTTGCAAGTCTAGATGGCTCTTCATCAGAGCTGAAATGAAATGTGAAGTGACCAAGAGTGATGCTATAGATTGTGCAGAGGGGGTGTGGGTGTACATTGTTCACCAGTACCCAACACCCATTACCCCCATCACTCTCCCTCAAACTACAGCATAAATGCTCTCCCCTCCATACTTCACGGCATCTCTGTTGAAGAGTCATCTAGACTTAAAACGTTAACTTGCTCTCTCTCCATGGATTCTGTGTGCCACTGTGATCTCCAGCATTTGGAGTTTGTGGCAAAATGCTAGATGGATACAGGAACAGTGGGAAGCTTCAGTTAGGATCTGGAAATCTGTCAGCATAAGAGAGGAGCAAATGTGTCAGAAGGTGTTTTCATTCACATATTCCCACTGCAGAAATGTTAATTCACAATGAAGAAGCAGGATATGGAGAACTCCCTGACTTTACACAACTACCACCCATCTCAGAAAAGAATGACTTGCACTCCCTCACCGATCCAACCACCTGCCCCTCTCTGCCAAAGTGGGTATAGTGCCCCACCGACATAGCAGCTGCACTGTCTTCCCCTGGCAAGGCAGTCCACCGAAACAATTGACCTGGACATGACAGGCCCCCAACACGGCTAAACACTGACATGGCTATCCCCAAACATCACTGTTCCCCAACACGGTGAACCCTGAAATGGCTACTCACTCAGAAATGGTTACCCCTGACAGGACTATCCCCGACTGCCCCAGACATGGCTAAAAACTGACACAGCGACTACCCAACACAGGTACCCTCTGACAGGTAACTACCACCCCCAACAAGACCATTATGACATGGCCATTGCCCAAAACAACTGCCTCTTGACATGGCTTCCCCCGATATAGTTACCTCATAACCTGACAACGCCGTGACAGGACTACCACTGCACATGGTTGCCCCCGGCATGGCTGCCACCCGACAATGCTAACCCTGACACTGCTAACCCTGACACCAATGACAATGACAGGACTGCACCTAACACGTCTGCACCTCAACATGTTTGCCCCTGATATGGCTACTCATTGACACGACTGTCACCAAACACAGAGTCCACAGCGTGACCATATGCTGACGCAGCTGTCCCCCAACATGTCCATCCCCTGACATGAATAAACTCCAGACACAATTCATTGACTGACAAGAGTACCCTTTACCACAACTACCCGAAATATTGCACACCCCTGACACCACTAACCACTGACACGAATGCCCCTGAACAAAACTGCCCATGACATGTCTGAACTCCCGTCGTGAGTACCCCTGAAACGACGACACACTCACATGACGATACACTTGCATGCCTACCCAAGAAATGGCAAGCACCCTGATACAGATACGTTCGGACACAACTACCCCAAACATGATGCTTCCTCAGGCGTGATTAATCCTTCACACAACAAGTACCCTGTCACAATGATGCACCTGACACAAATTAACTCTGCATTAGTTACTCCCTTGATATGATTCCACCCCTGACCTAATCCTCCCTCGAGGTGAAACATTTCATTATGTTTGGGCATTTGTGTTTACAAAAGGAGACGTCAGGGCTCGTTTTCTTGTTCACCCCTCATCAGGACTGAAACGTAAGAAGGCCAACAATAGAAAGGGGTGTGGCAATAATTTCTCCAGGGTTTTAAGGAGGTGTTGCTCGTTCAGAAACCACAGTAGATGCAGCTTTTTCTGTTAAATGTCAAACTTCATCCACCTATGAACTGGCAGTGGCGTCGGGTTTTGGAAGCTGCGTTAAATCTCTCCTGGCTGTTAAACTGTATGAGATTCCTTTTGATGCTTTGCTTTTGGTATTGCTGGTGAGACAAATCTATTTCCTGAATTTTGCCAAAGGGTGTGTTTTTGGGATTTTACTGCAATGGAACAGTTAATTCGGAATAGTTACAGCAACTATTATTCTGTTATGTTTTCCAATAGATTTAAGGTTTTCTAAGGAATGTTTTCTTTTGTTGACCTTTAACTGAAGTGTTTGAATAAATTGTGTTTTGAATACTGCTGTGTAGTTTGATCAGTTGAGTTGGATCTAGAACGTACCTTACATATGCCTTTAAAATAAAATAAAGTTGAGGCTGAGGCTGCCTTTTAAAAATATTTTGAGGGTGTCTGGTGTGATGTGGACCATTAAAGTTTTGGACATCCTGCTCACTCTAAGAGCTGGCTGTGAGGGAGCTGGATCAGCATGGAGGCCTCTTTACGTGCAAATAAAGGGTGAATTTGTGACAGGATATCGCTGTCTGTGAAGTTATTTCAAAATGGATTGGAAGTAATGATGTTCAGGTGGGGAGAGTGATGATGGACAAGTGAAAATCCAATGGAGTGTGATAACGGGGGAGGCATGGGGATGGGACAAGTTCAGAGGCAGCGTGATGACAGACTTTGACACTAACTATTGGGATGTAGTATTGATGGAGGGACAGAGTGTGATGGACATTGTGAATTATATGTACAATGGTTTCCCCACAATGTAGAAACAAGCAATTGGGCCCAACAATCCACACCAACCCTCCAAAGAGCATACCACCCAGACCCATTCCACTGCCATCTCCTTTGATTGCCCACCTAATGAACCTAACCTTAACATCCCTGAACATGATGGGCAATACAGCGTGGCCATCCATCTCCGGACTGTGTGAGGAAACCAGAACACCAAGCAGAAACTGATGCAGACATGAGGAGAACATGCAAACTCCACACACAAACAGTGGCCCAAGGCTGGAATCGAAGCCAGGTCCCTCGTGCTGTGAGGCAGCAGTGTTAACTACTGAGCCAACCTGATAACTGGGCTTACGAAAGGAATGAGAGAGCTAGTGTGGTGGTGGGACAGATTGATGCGACACTTGGAGACTGATCAATGGGATGGGTGTGATTATGTAGAGTTAGGTCTGAGTGATGGAAGACATGGGTCCTGCTGAATTTAGGTGGAGAGTCGTGAGAGGTTATGATGGACATAGAGACAGCCAATGAGATGTTAATGACTGTGTGGAGAGCAGAGACAATGATATTGACAGAAATTCTGGCCGCTGAGATGTGTGTAATGATGGTTTGGGATGTCGAATGTTAAT